CTGCTTCCGCGACCCACGGCCTGAACCGCCTCCCCTCCGGACAGCTGCCGCGGCCGCAGCAGCGCAGGCGGCGGATGCCACCAGCAGGGCGGCGAGGATGAAGAGAATAGGCTTGGTTTTGATCTTGTTGGGTTGGTTGGGACGGCTACGTGAGGTGGAGGACCCGAGGCTCCTAGGCTCGGGATTTCCCAAGCTAGTGTTCACCATTTTGGCTTTTTAAGGCGTGTTTGGGTAGGCGAAATATTATGAGAGTGTATGGACTTGGTAATTTTTAGTGAGTGATTTGTTAAAGAAGATTGAGGTTTTTAAGGTGTGTTAATTTTAGTGTGATTATAGTTTTTTTATGGATTATATTAGCTGTAGCTTACTAAATAAAGATTTTGCAAATCTTGTAATGATAATAATTTCATAAATTGTGCACGGTGTGTTGTGCATTATTCTCTGTTCTAAAAGTCGACTTCGACGGTGCAAGGTTGCTTCCGATTTGCATAAATTGACTGAAAAAATTGGTCAGGCGGCGCTTAGGCGGGCTGGGCGGAAGTCTTTTAACTTTCTTAAATACTAGTTACATTGTTATAATGTTTTCTTTATAATAAACTAATATTATTATTTACACTTAAGTGTGTTGATTTATTATAAGTTTAGATAATTTTATTTTGTAGATAGCAAAAATAAATATAAAAAAAAAAAGATATTTAATCTTGATTTTTAGACCTCACATAGACGCCGACTAGGCCCACCCTAGGCGCTAGGCGATGGTCTGATAAACATCGGGCTTTCTATAATAAGAATGAATGATATATCATATAATTTTCAGAGCGCATAAATTCATATTATGTACCAAAATCTGTGATATTCTAAATGTACAATTAATGGGCTAACATTTTCGTTGCAAATGATTAAATTAGCTTGAATGTAATATACCAAAGTTGTAATAATTATATTAATTTAATTAAGATGTATAAATGTTAATTTGACTGACAAATTGAAACAAACTCATCAAGTACAAATAATTTTTAAGATTTGTTTTAAATTCTTTGTTTGACTGAAATATTTATGGGAAACCTTACTTTTAGATGTGGGTTGGTGATGATAGAATTTTTATATATTATATCCTTGAAAATTAAATAAGTATTGAGTTCTTAAAAAAAAAATCACAATAAAACAAAATTACTACCTCACACTTCCTTACATTTTAAAATGTCCAAATTATCACCAATTTGTATTTTGAATATAATTTATAAAATTCATCAATTTGAATATAATTTAATATATATATATATATATATATATATATATATATATATATATGTAACATTTTATTGATAAGAAAACATATTAGGATTGGAAGAACACTTTCTCACACTATAGTTTTGGATAAAACATGTGAATATATAATATTTATGGTATGTAACATCACATCAATTTGTTAAAAATGGCTAATTTAAAAAAAAAAAAAAAAAAAGGTGCAGACACAATTATTAAATGATCACAAAAACACATCAATTCCCCATATTTACCAATTATTTTGGGTTAATTTAATTTGTCCTAACTTTTCATGTACCTTTGGTTTTTGTTGGTATTTAATATTTATGTTCAACTCAACAGCTGGCCCTGCATGAAGAAAAAATTAAAGTTAATTTTTAAAAAGTATTAATTGAGTTTAATTACAATAAAATGTTGATTAATGATTCAAATCACTTGAGATAAACAACCTTGACTTACAACTAACAGTTGTTGCCTTAGTGTTATCATGAAATAGGCATTACATTTGAATTAACAGTAAATAAGTTTTATGCTTAAACTTACATTACTTTTTGAAAAAATAAATAAATTATATTTATATTGAAAAACGTCATATTTCCATCTGTTTATATAAAGAAGTATGTCGTTTGTATATGAAAGTATAGATATGTGCTAAGTATAATTATCTAACGTTATCATTTTGTCTTAAACATGTATTATAAGTAAATATTTTTTTTTTTTTTGAAAAACATTTTTATTCTTCAAAATAAATATAATTTCTAAATTTATTCTTACCAATTTCATAGAATTATTTATCTACTCATTTATAAATTAAGATAAAAATTCATTGATACAATACTTACTATACTATTATATAATAATATTTTTTATTGAGAAATAACATTAAACGCGCGTTAATTTATGTAGAGAAAATGATTTGGTAGACTGTTTTTTAACCTCAAATGTTCAATTTTTAATACTCAATTAAGAAAATTAGACTAGACAACATACGTGTTCTTACTAAATAAATAAATTAAAAAAAAAGAAAAATTTCAATATATTGAATTGTTATAATATTATAGTATTTTAAAATATTGTAGTTATAATAATTATGTGTCAATATGGCAGTTCATATATGTTTTCATATGATAATCGATGGCTCGACAAAATTTTTGTATTGTATTAATTTGTGTTTTTAGTAACTTGTGTATATTTCTCTCTGCTTTTAAGTCTGTCTTAGGTATTATATTTGTTTAACATATAACATTATATAAGGTTGTCTTTGTAAATTTTAAGAATTTTCAGTGCATTTAGTTTAGACATTATGAAACTCCAAAATTAAATTTATTTATTTATTTTTTTTTTCAAAATTATGTGAATTTGAAAAATTAACATAGTCTTAAAAATCAATTTAATTTATTTCCTTTCCTTGTCAATCTCGTATTTAATTTCTATCATTTAGTTTCAACAATAATATTTACCAAAAAAAAAAAAAAAAAAAAAAAAAAA